TTTTAAGCTGCAATGCAACATCGATGAGCAAAAAAAAGAAGAGCAACAACACCTTTGCCCAATAGGAAATAAATATATTGTGTCCTTGTAAAGATAATGAAGGTTTTCTTCAACAGTAAAGATAATCTGTCTTCTTTTTCTTTAAGGGATGTCAAGCATAAGGCTAAGGGGGCAGAATCAGCCCGCCAAAGAGAACGCGCAAAGAAAATGTGAAATAAATCTGAGGCTTTTAGCTGTATTTCCACAAGTTTTACAGCTTTTCCTACTGATAAAGACCTCCTCCATGACCATTCACTACACCAAAGCCATCAAGTAATCAATAAACCATTAAATGAAAGAAAGGTCCCGTTTTGCCACTATCCACTATACAAATGTATTATTTCTTCATCATGTAGAAACAGTGAGATGTATAACTAAACTTTTTTTTATACATTAATATAAAAAATATCTCAGGGAATTAATGTGTGATTAAACTTCTCTCCAAGTGCACTGTACATCGGCTACAACAAAAAAAATCAGTGTGACATCGCTGCTTTAAGCCTAATAACTGAATACTTAGTTACATAAAATAATTCAATATGTTTCCATGTTTTGTTTTTAGTAAGTAATTGTAAATCTACATATTCTGTATCTGAATATGGTACACTTGGGAAGTGTAATTTGGCGGTCACAACGTAGACTTCCTGCCTTGCTTTCGACAGCATCAGGCTCACCCTGGCCTGAAGTCTGTCACACAGTGAAACATCTCCTCTCTTGGTGGCTGTCCTTTCCAAAATCATGGCTAGTCCAAAGATCACAAAATTTGCCTCCCGACACCTCAGAAAGATCCCCCGTTGACATATGTAGCTGTAACTGTCACACTATTCGATCAAAGAATCTTAATAATACATCAAAGGAAAGTCAGGTCATTACATTAGCATGAAATTCAGGTATGTACTTCCATCTATTTGCAAATTCATCTCGTTTGCTTCCCCTTACACCATCTATTGACGTATAATTGCAAAATAATTTCTTAGGTCAGACTGCACAAGATTATGCAAAAAACTACCGGGCAGGTTTCGTGATATTTCCTTCAACTGCTTTGTTGATGGCAGACAACATTAACGGCCTTCTAGCTAAATCTGGAATTAGAAATAGAACAATTGCTGGAAACGAGTGAGTGCAAAAAAGAGAAGGGGAAAGTTTCTAGCTCGTTTTGTGTCGTTGACAGAATAAAAAAGTATCGCTCAGGCACACATGACATCTGTGTCGCAGTGTAACACAGAACATGCGGGGGGAAAAATGACAGATGTTCACGTGAGCGGCGTCTGATGTTTCCTTTGGTCTACAAACAATAAGCCAACCTAAATTTAGACTCTGCTGGGTATCTAGGCTACATCACATCTCATTTGGACTTTGTAAAAGAACTGCTTTGCCCACGCCCACTAGGTGAGTGACATTTCCAACACTGCAGCTGCTGCGCCGCCAGTGCTCTGAGGAATCGTTCCACTTGAAGTGATGCCGAGAAAGTGACAGCGAAACGTATTAATCTGAGTGAGAGACAAACGCAGTGGTTACTGTATTTGCAGACATAAAAAGGAAATACTGAAAGGTGCTGCGCATTAGTCAGTAAAAGGGAAGTTAACTTTTTAGGCTGTTTGACATTCATGTCGTGTTGTTGCAGGCCCAGGGCAGTGAAGCACGGAGCAACGCTCTGCAGCACTGATAGCTGAGGAGGGGAGGTCAATGAAAGTTTGCCTCAGAACATGCCACAGCACCTAGACCACCACAAGGACTGCACAAACAAAAGGAGATGCAAATAACACAATTACACGTCTTGCATAAGAAAAACAAAGGAGGGGAGGAACAAAAAAAAGCTGATAATTGCAAGCGATCAAGCTTTGAGCCAAATAACCTCCTCTCTTGCAAACTCAGCCAGCTTAAAACTGTCAATAGATTGGAGCCTGCAGTTTCCCATGTGGCTCACCACAGGAATGGTGGGGAGTAGGAAGAGAGAGGGTGGGGCAGTGCAGCGTTTTTAAAGAGGATAAATTTTGGCTGAGGCCCAAACCCTGCATGTGGGCCTGATTCACCCTGACATCCAGCCTGAGATCAGCAGTGCTCTGCTCTCGCGGACGCTGCGGAAGGAACACAGTGATATAACAAAAGCCCTGGGTGTGAACATGTGTGGATCACAGGAAAAAATGACTTAGGAGTAAAGACAAGCCAGTTAATTGACAGGAAAAAAAATGAATGAAAGTGAGAAAAACAGGGCAGAGAGAGATGAGAGCAGGATGGTGAAAGGTTTCCTGGTGCTCCTGCTGGCTCAGCTCTTGAAGACGGACTCTCCTCGGGCTAAAAATACACCTAGACGTCGTTGTCCTCTTTGAGTTGTGTACTAGACAGACTGGCTCACTCAAACTCCACCGGTGGTGCTTCTTTATATCCCCTACTGCTTCTAAAGCCATTTTAAACCTTCAGCGCATCCAATTTTCATAAGCAGGTGGAGGTAAAGTTTCCTGCTGTAGCTCCATAGCTCCAGCGTGATAACAGAGATCTATCAATCGCACGGGGAGGATCTGGTGTCAACGTTTCGCTACGTATGTGTGCAACAGTTTTTACATATCTGTGCTAAAATGATGACAGAATTTACAGCCCTGTGACATGGTAATTACCCTTGGCTGGATTTTTTTACATAGCTACTTTAAGGAAAGCCCTTCGCCCGTGTAAGCTGAGAATGTATCCATAAACGCTGACTGGATATAGAGTGACTTCTTGGTACACTCCCACTACCAACGCATAAAGCAGAGATCTGGGTGTTGGCCCGAAAGGGTTACATCCAGGTGAAAACAGAAAAAAAAAGGAACACCATTGTTTCATTCCTTTTTTAATATTTTAAGCATGCAGAACCTGAAAGCTGAAGCCGTGCCTGTAACATTCTTCCCAGCAAGTCCACCTGCAGCTCTCGGAGGGTGCTAATCCCCTTTGGATGGCTTTTGCAAGGCATTCATCATCTTTGACTTCACAAAAACACACTGGTTGTGTTTTTTATAGCAACCAATGAACCTGACTCCTATGCATTTCGTGGATGTCCTGCTAAACTTAACCATGCAGTCACCGGGGAAAAACTAACAAGAAACTGCTGATCCCGATAGCCATGTGCAAGCCTCGTTACTTCTATTTAGTTTTTAATTACACTGGATGCTTTTATCTCCCTGGAGATAAATCGCAGTTCCCAAAAAAGTTGGGATGCTGTGTAAAATGTAAATAAAAACAGAATGCAATGACTTCTCATAAGCCTCTAATTTAATCACTGTAGAACATAGAAAACATATAGTTTAAATTGAGAAAATCTTACATTTAAAAAAATGAATAAATAAAGGTCATTCTGAAATTGATGGCAGCAACACATTTAAAAAAAAATCTGGGACAGGATCATGTTTACCACCGTTTAGCATCCCATCTTTTTTTAACAACGATCTGTAAACATCTGGGAACAGAGGAGAGCAGCTGCTGAACGTTTGTGAGAGGATTGTTGTCCCATTCTTGTCTGATATAAGCTGCTCAACAGTCCTGTATCCAAATGTTTTCAGCTGGTGAAAGGTCGGGACTGCAGGCAGGCCATGTGGTTGTAATTGATCCAGTATGCTGTTCACCATTGTCTTGCTAAAATACATAAAGCCTTCCCTAAAAAAGACGTCACCTTGATGGGAGCATGTGTTGCTTTAAAATCTGTATATCCCTTTCAGCATGGATGGTGCTTTTCCAGATGTGCAAAGTGTCAATTCCACGCGCACAGATGCAGGCTTTTGAACAAGGCTTTTGGTAAGAAGGGTTAGTCTCCCTTATATTTTCCTAAAACAATTTAAAACTTCAAATCGTGTGACCACAGAACAGCTTTCTACTTTGCCTCAGCCCATTTTAAACTGCAGCGTTTCTGGATCATGTTCACGTTTGGCTCCTTCTTTGCGCGATAGATCTTTAACCTGCATTTGCAGATAGCATGACAAACCGTGTTCCCAGACAATGATTTCTGGAAGAATTCCCAATTTTTGGCCTTGTCCCCTTGCACACAAAGATTTCTACAGATTCCCTCCAGATTTGTAAACCCCGGCCCATCAGAGAAACTCTACCTCTCTAAAATGTTTTTCTATAAGCAATCATCTGGCCTGCTGCCACTTAAAATGTTCCTTTATGTACCTCTTACTTTCCCAGCCTCTTGCTGCTTCTTCCAGTTTTTTAAATGCACGGTTGTAAGCTTGTCAATCTAAAGTAAGTTGAGGATTGACTGGCTCATAGTGAGAATGTTAAACTACTAAAGCAAGAGAACCTAGACCCCCCCACCCCCACCGGCAGAAGCAACACGGGTCTCTTGGATTCGTCTGCGCGTGCTTGACAACAATCAGCTGAATCCAACTGATCAAACAAACTGTGTTACTCTGTCAATGATCGCGTGTCACCAGAGTCTGCACTAATGGGACTGTTTCTCTCCCACCTGCTGCGGCACTTATATAATCCTGACACCCAGCAGGAGGGGCTGCATAGGTCAGTGTACCAGTGAAGAAGAAAAAAAGCCAAACGAGCCGCGGTTTGATTCACGCATTCATCCCAGGTGTGCGCATGAAAAAGTTCCGGCAGTCCTGCACGACTCCGTCACCCATTGTTGAGGAGGACAGTGCAAACGTACCGTCCAGCGGACTATCTTCACGTTACCAGCTAATAAGACGACTGTTACATTCATTATCGTAGTAACGAGATGCCTCCCCGTGCCAGCAGCACGCGAGGCCCTTTTGTGCATTTAACCCCGCGCTTGCTCGCAGCAGAACCTGGATAACTCAGCCCACCTGGCAACGGGGAACACTTGCGACTTAAACAAGCCAACTACATCTACTGACCACCTGCGGAAAAAGCCCCCCTCCTCTTCGTCGTCGGGCTGGTCAGCCCTCCAGCGCTAGCATTGTGTGTTTACGCTAAAAGCACACACTCTGCTTTAATGTTGCCTCCGCGGCGAACGAACTTACCTAAATCATCCATGTTGGCCGGAAATGGTTCCAGTGCCGAGAACCGGATCGGTCCTCCTCTCCGACGATCGCAGCTGGACTGGAAGCCTCTAAATCGCCAAATCCCCGCTCTTACTGGACGCAGGGAAGTTTTCAAGTCCCCCTCCTGCTGCTGCTGCTCCTGCTCCTGCTCGAGTCGACGCGTCTTAAACACACTCACAGACACACACATACCCAGCTGCCCCCAGCAGTCCACATCCAGCCAGCCCACCCCCCCAGCCCACAAGCCACAACACGCAGGGACCAGCGACATCTAGCGGCGGAGAGTGGTGTTGAAGGGACGCTACAGTAAAACTATATGGGACCCTAATAAGTCATATTGTTCCAGAGTTTCAATACTTATATTGTATATATAGTATAAAGGTATTAGATTTTATACATTCATAGAAGATCTAAATGTAGCTTTTTTACATTTCTTTTGTTATTAATGTATTTTTTTATGTCAGCTAAATTTAGTTAGTTAATTCAATCTTTAATGTCGTACATTCTTGCTGATAGCAGTGTTTACAGTTAGCAAAGCAAGCTCACAATAAAACAGGGAAAAATTATAAAATTAAAATCACTAACCGGGCAAGCTAGAGATCCTCCTCAGCCTCACAATGCAAGGAGAGAGAGGAAGGAAGCCGACCGAGGTCTCTGGGGAAAATAAAACAGGGAGAGAGTCAGACATGTCAAAATAAATAAAATAATTAAATGGCTGAATGACTTAAATGAGGTGAGGCAATAAACGTGTTTTTTAAGACCACCTGTAGAACATAATAAGGTGGGCTCAGGTTTTGAGGACTCTGGGTGTGCAGCAGGTACTCTTTCTTGTGGAGAGGTTTTGTCAGAGTTGTTCATCTCCAAAGGAAGTAGGAGATGTGAAGGTGAGGAAGGAAAACGACAACCACAAGCCAGTGTTCCTCCTTTAAGAGTTTGGAATGATGAGGACTGTAGATTTTATTATTGATGATTTTATTATGTCTGCTTGCATGTTATATGCACTACTGTAAGTAGTTAGTCAAAATGCCTGTGTCTTCTGGGATTACATACGGACAGTGAAATAAGTTTTGACTCTATTTATTTATTTTTATAACTAAAAAACAGTAAAATTATAAAAGAAGAAATGTAGCTGTAATGTCGTGTAAAGAGTAATGTGCTAAAAGGCAACATCATTTTTAAATGGCCACATGGTGGCAGTAGCTTCACATTATCAGACCTTCATTAACTGGTCTCTGGCCTAAGCCCCACCACACACCCCCATGCCTCATTGATACATACAAAACATGACTCAAAGCAGCTTCTCAGCAGAGAAAGAGACTAATTGTGAGAAAAGATGGGAAAATATGGAGTATTTTAAATGGTAATTTATGGCTAGTGACTAAAGAGAAGCTTGCATGTAGAAGGAGACGACTGACAGAAGGTTTTTAGTAGTTATTAGGGATACTATGTTGCTATTTACATGCACTGCTACTGAGCTCTTGACGGTTATTTTTAAAGCCAGTTTCAGAAAACACGAGTTCCTGATTTCAGGATAAAGTGCTAGAGGGCTTAAGAAAACATTTCTTATAAATAACGAACTGATAACTTGTCACATGTGACGTTTGTGTTCTGTTACTTTGAAGAAAAGTCCATCTTAAAAGATAAACACATGAGAGAAGACTTTTTCTTGTGCGTTAACAAAGATTTTACCCTTACACTAGAAAATGAGGAGATAACTCAGACCACAGTCATTATCTGCACAGCTTAAGTCAGCTTTCTTTGAGCAGACGCACTCAGCACAAATCGACAGTTCTCATAGAAAATCCATCCATTATTTCTCAGAGGTGGAAATAGACTAAATGCCATTTAGGCACAGTGTTAAATCTCAATATAAACCTCTGTGAGAGAGTGTTAATTGCACCCTCAGCACACACTAAAACGCTTCCCCTATAAATGATTGGTGTAACTTTCCTTTAATATTCCTGCAGGGAGTTACAGAATTACACTGTGTGTGTTCAGCAGTGAGATGATGGCTGGTTTTCATGGATTTTATGTCACCTGAACGTGCTGTTATTTTTCTTCTTTTAATCTTACTTCATGTAAGACAAAGGTTTGCTTTTGTTACCTGAGAGTTCAGAGTTAACGGGCCTGTAAAACCTGATTATGTATATTTTAGCATCATACTGTGTGTCATTCAGAATGACAATGTTTTCATAGTGGTGAAAGCAATCGGGACGCCCATTGCATGAACTAGGGGTGTGCAACTGTTGCAGTGTGTACTTGTGCTTTGAGAGGGAGTTTTACAGTGAATAACCACAGGCAGGAATGATTTTGTGTGTCGTTCAGTGATGCATGTGGATAATCTCAGTCTCTCACTGAATGTGGTCCTGTGACTGGCCAGCATGTTATGGAGTGGGTGGGAGGTTTGGTCCAGCATTGACCTTATCTTGGTGAACATCCACCTCTCTCACACCACCTTAGGGCGAGCACAGCTCCATCCCCACAACGTAACTGGCCTTACAGATCAGTTTATTGAGTCCGTTGATCTTGATCAATAGTACTCTGGGCTTTCCAAGGTCTTTCAAAGTTTTTCTCTGTACTTTAGCTCCTTTTTTAAACTTATTTCCAGTCCAGTCCTTGTACCTGACCATTTTCAGAGGAACTGTTAGTATACATTATTGTTATTTTGTTAGCGACTTAAAAGTGACCTGTGAATCATTCAAGCTTAAAGCTACAGCTAACTCAAAGAATGAACCAGTGTTGTATCTACACATAACAGACAATTAGCAATGAAACAAATGCCATTGAATGATTTGTTATCATTTGTTACAAATTTGGCAAAAAATGCCAAAAAAAAAACAGTTTAACAGGCATGAAATAGTATTTTTGGCCAACAAGGTGATTCTTAAAGAGCTATTAGCTGAAAACTTTGCATATCTCGGCATAGTGTGCAGTGTGTCTTTAAAAATATACTACAACTACTACTAACAATAAGAAGAAGAAGAAGGTGTAGTGGACAGCTTTGTTGCAGGCTACGAGCAAAACCATCTGCAGCCTAACATGGCAAAGACTAAGAAACTGGTTGTGGGCATGAGGAGGACAGGAACACAGTGGCCCCCTATGTATTAAAAACACCTCAATGTTCACACTGACAAAAAGTTCATTAAAAGCTCTCTACAAAAAGTACTGAAGCCTTGAGGTCCTTTTGCATCTGCCAGACGATGCTCAGGATATTTTATGGGTCTGTGGTGGCCAGTCAGTGCCATCCACTATGCTGCAGTGTGTGGAGGCAGCAATCAATAGACTGAACAAACTGATCTGCAAGGCCAATGACACTGTGTGCGCGGAACCCGATTAACTGACAAAGGTTTCAGAAAAGAGGATGCTGCCCACGTTAAAGTCAGTATTGGACAACTCTTCACACCCTCTCCATCCTGTGATGGATCGCTACAGCAGCGCATTCAGTAAAAGAGATACGGGAAATCATCGCTACCTTTGGCCATGAAAGTTTACAACTCCTTGTTATGACACCTGGACTATTTTCAAATTTATATCTTGTCTGTAGGGTACATACTAGTGTTTTCATTTTGGAATATTTCCTTTAAATTTCAGATTTCACTCCAAGTGCTGTAGTTTTACTTCTTTTTTATGTCTTGATGCATGCTCAATCATCCAGGTAAGTAAACCCTAAAAGGTTGATTCTGCTCATCTGGATGTAACATTTTCAGTGGGAGGAATATTTCGTCACTCATTCAAGTGACTTCTTCAGTCTCAGCTGACTGCAGGTTTCCCCAACCTTATACCTGAAACCAGCCCACTGAATGAACTGAGGTCAGTTCCTTGATCATTAATATGCAAATTGTCATGACCACTGATCAGCAGCTACTGATCAAAACCCATTGATCAAAGACCAAATATTTTTTATGCTTTCTATCTTTCATCTTTATATTTTCAGTGAGCATCTCTAACAACATTGTCTCAGTGGATTAAAAAAAGTATTCTGACTCCAATGACAATGATCACAAACACACCGCCTATGCAGCAAAAGCATATCTGGCCAAGAAAAAAACAAAAACCAAAAAACACACACAATGAAACAGTATCAGTCATGGCCCCCAGAGCCCAGACCTCATCATTTTTGAAGCAGTGTGGCATCATCTTGTCAGTGAAGAGAACAAAAGGCATCCAACTTCCAAAGAAGAGCTTTGGATGTCGTTCTAGAAGCCCGGAGAACTATTCCTGAAGACTACTTAAAGAAATGACGAGAAAGCCTGTCTAAGAGAACTCAGGCCGTGTTGAAGAATAAAGTTGAACACGTTAAATATTCACTTTCAAACTCAGTAAAATTGTACAAACTCTTTTTTTAAAAAGTACTTTCATAGAGTATTTCCATTTGTTTGCACACATTGTAAGAAAACATTACACCTATTTTCTATGAAAATGTACAGAAATGAGGCGTGGCTCAAGACTTTTGCCCACCAGTTTACATGTTAAACACAGTAACATGGGGTGATTTTTCTGGGCAGTCCTAAAACTACTGTCAGTCTCTCTGGCTCTGTCTTGCTCTCCATGCTGTCATGAGGGATACACTTGGCTGTTCAAACTCCAGCCTCTTCAGTATGTTCAGCAGCAGCCTGGTAACCTTTGTTTCTCATTTGTCCCTGGACCTGAGCAGCAAACACTCAGTCTTAGAGCTAGTTAGGATCTGCAAATTTAGGTGACAGTGATTTTGTCAGTAGTAATTTCTACCAGACAAAACTAAAAATTGAAAGAGAAATGCACGTTTTCCCTTCACTGACCACATGCTGCACTTGCAGACAGTTAAAACTGGAGCTGAAATAGCCAAGCCGATCCAAACACTCATCCCTCACCACTCCCCACGTGTCTCGTCTCATCCACAGTATGAAGTATCCACGGTACTCCTGCCTGATGCTGTCAGAACTGGCTCCTCCCTGCCCTTAACACTTCAACTGGAACAATCAAGGATTTACACCCCCTGCTTAACCCTGCCAAGGTCTCAAGTCGGGTAAGGCGACGGTGGTGCGGATCACTCGATGGCATCCTTTTGTGAGCAACCTCCCCCCCAACTCCTCAGTATAGCATTACCCTCTTTACATCACCACAACACTAAAATAACAACAGGGCTTTGTCTTAGTAAAGCCCTTTGTTTCAGTAGCCAAACATTTCCACGCACATCCAACACACACCCAACTTTCTGCGCACACACAGACACTGATGCAGGCATGTTTTGGATTCTACAGGCTCACCAGCTGCACATGCTCGTTATTCTTAAGTACTCAGATGCACTACCTAACATGGATTTTAAGGAGTATCTGGTATAGTCATCTGTTCAGGCAGTAATTGTATGATCCTTGAATAGG